TGTATGTGTGTAGAACTTCTTTCTTCGTACGTAGACAACGGTGCAAATCGAGGTGCAGACAGTGGGAGTGAGCCTGTTGCTTTCTCTCAGCAAGCCGGAAGACCTCCTCTGTCAACCAGGGTCTCTGGTGTGGTCTGAACCGCATACCTAATGCAGCCATTGCAGCGACATGAACCACAGTCCTGAACCTCGCCAATTTCCATTGGCATTCGGGGGGGGCAGTGCCGGATTATCCTAGTAGCCGAAGTATCACTTTCAAGGGCCCCGCGCTAACTGCTTTCAAGCTATCAATTCAGGTTTAGTGATTCTGTACTTGCTCTATTAATATAGTACTATACTGCCTTCGACTTTTATAAACTACTGGGTGTTTAAGGTTAGCGATTTGTCGTATTATCTGGCTGTATATGAAATGAAAAAATACAATTACTTTACTGTGCAAATATAATTTTGTTTTAATATTTACGTGTTTTTTTATTTAGGACCCCTTTATAACATATGTTACAGGACCCGCACTAGCTTAATCCGGCACTGGGGGGGGGGGGGCGATACAAACCCGTGCTGCAAACGATAATTACATTTTCATCCGCTAATCAAGACCAGGCTATATTGGGTTTGAGCAGGGTGCTAGGTGGGTGCCCATCACCGCAAAGAATAGCAGGCCCATCTTACAGCTGACAAGCCAAATGTCAGTGGGCAGATCCGCTCCACGGAAGGTTCTGGTGTCAAGGACATCGGCCCACATTCACGCTTCCATCACTATAGAGTCGGGCAGATGTTCTTGCTTGAACCTGACATGCATCAACGATGTTGTGTGGTTGCACAGATGCCCGCGGAGCGTGTTGGTAATCACAAGCCCATGGGCTGGAGAGATGTCGAACAGCTTCCTACCGTTTGTTATTGACGTGATCTGGTTCATGCCTTCCAATCACTCCAACTTGGACATTCAAGTCACCCAACACTTCTTCTTGGTTCTTTCGGTAAAGTCACGTAGAATGGAAATAATAAAAATAAAACATAATAAAATCATTCTCACGACGTTTCGGCCACAACGCAAGCAGCCGTCATCAGGTGAAGAACAGGTCTGTCGAGAAGACAGTCTGAATGACACACCCCAGGCTTGGAGCGTCTATTTAAGCTGGGTTGGAGGGGGGGGGAGAGCGCCTCCCCCCCCCCTCCAACACTTTCAATAGCACAGAGGACAGGTCAGCTTGTCTACATCCCTGCACTGATGTTCATCTTTGGTGGGGGCATAAGCCACTACCATCATCACCACCAATTCCCCGCCTCCCTTTGATGGAAAGAATAACCCATAGTATCCTTGGACTCACAGTTTCCCAGACAAGTTATACTCACAGTAAGCCCCGGGCACTTAGTTTTCTCACACAGGCTGTGTAGCCCGTTGGAGCGACCGGCTGAACATATATTTTCGTTAATAGTACTCCCGGCATCTTCCGTTCTCTACAGAGGCACTGTGTGTTTTTAACTGTCCCTCCATGGGATCAATTCGCTAATGGGCAACAACACCACTGGTCTCACCACATCCACCTTCCCCGAGCCTCATTGGCAATTACACTAAGAAACAAAGGAGCAATAATGGCAATGGGCGCACACTCCACCAGTCCAACCGTATACACCTGCCCCTCAGCCTGCCTTGCAATTCCACGCAGTTAATGGGGTAATTGTGATTTTCGGCTGAACATATTTTGGGAGTGCAACCTCTTCTCGACAATTATACTTAACCCTCCCCCCCACCCCAATGGCCCATCTTGTGTAGGCCATTGTTCTCACTGCGAGGTGCCAACATAAGAGAACCCCGTTCATCCAGCTTGTAATCAGTTTCCTTAAAAGGCACCCGGTACAATTAACGACACCGGTCTACATCACCCTGGATGATTACTGGGTTGCGTCTAATAGCCAGCTCGAGAACCACGGATGCTGAAACCGTGTCTATTGTTATTTCACTTTTAGGGCATTGATATGACGAATATATTGAGTTTTTGTGAGGTGTGCTTATGCACCACCGCCAATGCGATATTGCAGATGCACGTTTTTTATTATATTTTCGCTACAGTACATATCGCCCATAAAGCAGCATCGTAACTCCCATGACGCAGCGTATGGTTGAGCCACTTTAAAGTGGAGCGTGTGCGGATGCATGCAGTGTACACGGAGCCGAGGCACCGCAATGAGACACGGGGAGCCCTGGGTCTCTCAATCAAGAGGCAACAAAAAGCCGCTTGCGTCGCTTGCCACAAAGCCCTAGGCTAAACAATACAGATATAATACATTAGGTGCAAAAAATTTTTTTTATTTTAATGCACACACTTTTATTTGCACTCAAAAGTAGAAAATAAATTATTTGACCCCAGAGTTAATAAAATTTGATGTGCTGAATAAAAGTGAGTGGTTTCCTTTCGATGTGATTAACTTTCTTTATGCAAGCCATCCACTTTTATTCAGCACATCAAATTGTATTAATTTTGGGGTCAAAATATTTTTCTACTTTTGAGTGCAAATAAAAGTGTGCATGGAAAAAGTTTTTTTACCTAATTTATGACACAATTATATATCAATCTTGTATACATTATTTGTATATGTACTTATTAATTCTAACATCTCACTCCAGACAATAACAATAGTTCATTTGTCTGGATAATTGTAATATATTTGAAATTGTGCAATAACATTTTCAGTTAAAAAAGAGACCCAGGAAAGGCACCGATTCTTTGAATTAAATCTTGAATTCTCACGCGATAGGAGTCAGTGTACAAAATTTCAGCTCGTTAGTCTTCATAGATCTGAATATCTTAAGCGTCAAAGATTTTTAAAAATATAAAAAGGGCAAGTTCAATAAAAGTGTGTAAAAAAAAAAGTGTGCGATACGGTGGCACCGTTTGTTCATTGGCAGCAGGGGACACCGAGACATGAAACTTGGCCAACAGCGATTTTTATCTTCAGGACTGACGGATAGAAAAGTGACCTGCGGAAAGGCATGGCCGAGTTGACGCTAATTAACGGAAAGGTGGGTGTAGTTGGTGGTGCGCGCCTGTAGCCGAGCAACTTAAATAAGCTGCGATGGTAGATCGTCCCGAGATTGGGCGTGCAAGACACAAAGACACAGGCCAGGGAGTTGGTGTTTCGTTGTAGGGTGTGAAGGATGTTAAAGCTGCAGCCCGGAAATTTCCTCCCAGCGTCGCGTTTCCCAAGTCCTTGCTGAATGCAATAGAATCATACTTTAATATCGGTTTTTGCGGGCTGCTTAGTGTTTTGGGTCTGTGCTCAGCAAATCAAACCAAACATACCTCACATATATGACTCACAGCTTGCATGTGGGGTACACACACGTATAGACTGAAAACGTGTAATACATTTTACACCATGCCTGCTCGTTGGTCATGAACCTCAAGGAGTCATGTCCAATTGCTCAATAATGAATTGGTGAATCTGGACACAGACCACACGTGGTCAAATCTGCGAGGGCGTATCCTGGGTAATAACATTTCAGACTTGTTTAGTAATGTCGGTAATGGCTGGCAACAACTTCAGGTATCTGCCTGCACGCCTTCTCTGGCTTTCACCAATGTACACGGGCAAGACAGTTGTTGCTGAAGATAAAGGCACACCACATTGATCATGGTAAACATTCACTCACGTCTCACTTAGTCCCTGCGCAAAAGTGGGGCTTGGTGTGTGTACGGTATGTGCAAGTTCTGCAGCAGCTGGGATGCACATATTTGTTTTACCAGTCACAACGCTGCTTTCGATGATGTCTGCTGGAAGAACAACAAATGCTCTCAGAAACCAAGTTCTGGCAGCATATGCATAATCTACCCACTGTTGAATTCCATTACACCAGAGACTGCCGTGTGCGGTGAAATATTAATATTGTGAGAAAATAAATACATTATAGATCGCATGGGGTGGGCAGCTAAAAGTATTTTTGGATCACTGGGGCTATCGTATGCATTTTCAAGATGCAGCTTAACGGAGCGAGGTTGAGTGGGTGAGTGGTCTTTAATAGTTGTTTTATAGAAAAGACAAGCTAAGCTTTCCTTGTACAGTAATTTAAACAAGTTCAGGATGGACAGCAGTAATGTTCGTAACCGCACGAACATTTGCTCAATTTTAGGTCATACTGCTACTCTTAACGGTAATATTTAGTACATTCTTGAAAACTGGGATGTCATCAAAGTCCATTATTTAACCAGCATTTCCTCGGGTTGTGTAGTATTTTTACATGAAGCTGATCTTATTTGCGATTTCAATTTTTTGCAGTTAATGGCACACAAAGGTCAAAAGATACCAGTCTCCGTATGTTGATAATTCTCTTGCAGATATAAGCAGAGGTTTACAAAAATCAAACCATAAAGCTTCAGCCCTGACCCAGTTGCAGATGAAACACAAAACTAATCCAGCCACCCAGGCCGATAACAATTATTACGAGTTACTGTAAAAATTCAAGACACTACAGCAGCCAAATGTTACACTCGACTGAAGAGCACAATACGTGCATCAATACACATGTTTGGAGAATGACTATTAGCCATGATTTGTGAGCAGCCCCAATTCTGCCAACTCCAGTTCAACCAAAGATCCCATCAGTTCCCGTGACACTTAGTGTGGGAAATGGCCATGAGATGTTCAGCAGGTTGTCAAGTTCGTTCGTTTCTCAATCCGCTTGCCCTTGAGGGTCGCGGCAGACTCGAACACTACATTACTATCCACTACTACACTATAAATTACTATACACTAGACTATACACTAAACTACACCGTACACCACTATACACTACTACACAGACTCTAGCTCTTCCTGGGAAATTCCCAGGCGTTCCCAGGCCAGCCGAGCGACATAGTCCTGCCAGCGTGGCCTGGGCTGGCCCCAGGGTCTTCGCCCAGTTCGAAGACCTAGGGGTCTTCACACGTTGCCAAGTACACCTATTGATTGCAAACACATACTGGTGACAAGTTCCTTTAAATTGAAACATAACCCAACACAAATTCACTTGTATAGTTTTTACTACAGGTTTACTTCGGCCACTACAAGCATTCAAAATACACAAAACACAATGCAAGCACTTGCATAATACAAAGCCTACGTGTTCAACTAAAAAAACACTACAAGTTCCACTAACATTTAAGCAAATACGTTTTAGTGATAGGGCACATATGGTTTAAGTCGGTTGGTGAACACCATATTTAGATCTAGTGTTAGCAAACACATGCATACAACCTTACGTGTTCAACACACAAACATGCAAATTTCATGAGACCTCCTCGGCCAGTACCAAAATATGAGAATAGGATTTCCCCTTTTTTCTGGCAAACAAACAAGTGTTGAGACGTTAAAACACCAAACTGAAACAGTTTACAAGGAATCATGTCTGCATTAACCACAATACCTGTGGTCAGAATGCAAACAAAAAACTCACTGATAATATATGCATTGTCTTTTAAACTGATTGGTCCACACTAGGTGAAACTGATTAAAAAACAATGCATATATTATCAGAGTATGTTTTATGTTTGCATTCCGATCGCAAGTATCGTGGTTAATGCAGACATGATTCCTTGTAAAAAGGTTTCAGTTTGGTGTTTTAACATCTTAACACAGCTGTTTTGTTGCCAGAAAAAAGGGGAAAATGTATTCTCAAACATGCAAATTGTTGCGGCTTTGATATTTCTAGTCCAGAGCTGCAAAACGCAGTTGATTTACTTGATGTTGCAGGCCTTAGGGTGGTGTCAAGTTTGCCAACACCACAATGTAGTCTACAAGTCATTTGAAATGCACAGGAAGAAGGCGGCAATTCATTTTCAACATCCTGGCAACACCTGGTGCTTGAAACTGCTCTTTTGGCAACAGACAGAAGTAACGTTACAGTCCTGCAGTCCATTGTTATTACCTTTAAATATGTGAGTATACTCAATCATGGCTATGTCTAAACACACAATGTTTAAGAAATCCACCTACTTATTACGAAGTTTAAATGTTTAAAACAAAAACCACATTCTTGAGTTAAACTTGAATCGACTGACATTTCCAAATCAAGGTAAAAAGGTCATTATGCACAATTCAATTGATGCCACCACACACTGCAATTACCTCCCTCAACGCTAGAGCATTCAGCTGTTACCAAGTATTACAACACCTGGACATAGGCTTCCTGATCACCCAATTAAAAAAAACCTCTGCAAGCCATTAAAACAGCAGCCAAGGGGCACAGAAACACAAAACACGCAGACAATGACATCTTAAGACCTTATTTTTTAAAATATGAAGTAACAAATTTTGACAAAACCAATAATACTTATTCGGTCACGCGCCAGAGCTAAACTAGATTACAATTATGACGAGGTAAATGGCTAGCGTTACTGTTTATAACTCTCTTCTTCACGCTTGTGTAATTTCTTAAGCATCAAGGGCGCCCTCCAGTGACCAAATAAAGCCACACAATGATGGCGAGAATATGTCGGAAGGGCAAGTCTGAAATGGAATTCGAGAAACAGATTTCTTAACATAGCGCCAATTTTCTGAACGAGCACAAATTAAATTCTACATCGTCCTCATTCACCTAACAAAACAGTCAATGCAACAAGTCATTCGATTCGTGTAGTGAGACAGAATGGCATTGAAAAGGAAAATGAAGCCACCTATTACCACATTAATTTGGCTGCAAATGTATGATTAATAAATTACCTTTTAGCAGTATTAATTCACATTTATAATGCGCATTTCATCCTATAGATCTTAAAGCGCATACCGCCTTAGCACTACCTGGTGATGAAATATAGGCGATTTCTAAAAACAATGTCAATGCATACTCCATCACTTCAAAATCAACAAAGCACAATACGATTTTATCTGCCATTTGCTGCTTTTCTCCTGGCAAAGCTTCAATATAAAAAGCGTATTACACATTTTGTTAGGGCTCTGCAATTATAAATTGTAAAAGGTTATAAAAGCCTTTCTGAGAAATTGTGGGTGTAATTATGATTATCCAACTAGCTGCACAGTTGATAAATGCCACGTTAAAACATAACAATCAAATAGTCTGCAAGTTATGTTTTATGACCATGTTTTCTGGATTTTTTTCTCACTTTCAAAAACCACAAATCTGGCTTCTGCACACCAATAAAGATCACCATAAAAGCTATGAGAGGTAACAGTGCTGTAGAACAAGCAGGTTATAGGACTTCTTTTTGATCCAGTTCCGCTCACTTAATTCTTGCAATCTGTAAAATAAACAGAGAACGACTAGCATTTAGCTCTTAATTAACACTAAACAGGTTGTTCATAGAATGCAATTGACACATTTACAATGACAAACAACAGCTTGTATTTATAAAGCATCTAAATCTCACACCGTATAATTACAAACGTGGGTTTTTTTCTGGGTTCTCCGCTTTCCTCCCATGAAAATAAACACTCGTTAATTAGCTGAAAACATCTTGATATAAATAGGATGACAGAGCTCATACAACTGTTGACACTGGCTGCCTTCGAACTTGCCTGTGGTTCCTCAGCAATTATGAGAAACAATTTGCATGAACGACGCTATATACAAACAATTATTATTTAAATATGTGCAGCTAGACAATTTTTTTGGGGGAGGGAAAGAAGGGTAGAATGCTACAGAGGCCAGAAAGGTAATTCAGACAGAATGGAAGAAAGCATATGAAAATCCTTCAATAACAGAAAGTTATATGCATGTAAAAGGGTATTTAATAGTACCCATAACATGCATTATCTAAATGTATTGTGAAATGTAAAAACCATAAGACAATTTGGCTTTCACAACGTATAAAAAAATAGGTGTATTAGAGGTTTTTCAGACACTTGTAACGTTAGCAAAAAAAATAAGTGTAAAAATATATTCAACACTTGCACAAAATCCCTTTCTTCATACACAACACTTGCACACTGTTACGTGTTGGTATGCACTCATTAAAGGAAATGCTATTACGAGATAAAGTTGAGGCAAATTATCTCTTGCCACAATAATAACACATCGCTCGACTTTACATCCACCGTGCACAAAGAAACCCATTTCTGCAGATAGCACTGCCAGACATTTGCAAGATGCCGGAACAAAATTCGGCGCGCTCCAAACCTGCGAGATTTTCACGCCGGTCAGTCTCTCCACGCTCTCGGGCAGCTTGCTCATGATGTCCAGCACCTCGCTCGTCAGCTTTGAGGCTCCCACCTCCCCACCACCGCTGGAAATCATCGTCACCTTCCTTGCCTTGCTCAGTGGCTGGCTAACCTCTGTGGCAATCTGCAGGCCATCGCAGAGTCGGAGGGGAAAAAAAAGATAAACATAATTGGCAACGCTGAAATGCCGATAAGAATGACAAACATTCCCTACTGCTGCTGCTATTCCTGGCAAAGAAACATCGTAATTTTTGGCAGCGAGGTAGAATGTCTATACTGTACTGGTAATACTCAAATGGTACAACCGTAAATAATTCCTTTATGTTATTGGTAAGGAAGTTGTAAAATATATTCATAGTAACTATTATAAATGTGCACCCTCAGTTAAGTTATAAATTATTATGGGATTTTCATAAAGCTATTCGGCCTAAAACATTTTAATACAAGCATGAATTTGATCTAGTATGTTATATTTAAGGTGTCACCAATGGGGAATAATTTACTACACGAGATCTCCGTGCGATGCTGAGTCAGTGTGTGTATGTACGTGTGCATGTGTGTGCGAGCAGTAGTGTAATAGTCAGCGTGCAGTGCTACGAACCTGACAACCTTAGTTCCAATTCTTGCTCAGGGCCAACGTCGGTGGAAAGCGATATCAGAAATGATCCTGTGCCTTGCTTTGGTCAACGCAGCCTTAAATAAGTAGCTGGTACTACGTGTAAACGTTAGCACTGGCTCTGGGCATGGTGCTGGCCATATCATCTAATTTGATATGCAAGCCTTAATAGGTTCTCATTACCCGCACTTGCCTCCCCCCCCCCACCCCCAATAGCCAATGAAGGCTATACGGGGGAACTTTGTTTGTGGGAGAGAACCTTAGGCAATGTCTCCAGCAGCAGGTCCACCATGGCAGCCTCTTCATAGTCCTTGAAGGCCTGGGCTTTCTGCATCATCTGCTCTGCCTCAGCCTTGGCCTTGGCCTCAATGGCATAAGCCTCTGCCTCCCCCTTGATCTATGCGCACACACAACGTGACAGGGAGCAGAACACAATATGAAGACGTCAACCATCCACCAAAACAAGTGCTGCTGGCATGCTTAGTGCAGCTTGAGACAATGGAAGGGGTGGGCACACAATTTGTCTGTTCAAATATTTACCAACACACACCCACACCAAATACACTGGGCACTAATTATTGCCTAAACGTATATAGGAATCTCAGAAATGATAAAAACGATGTGCAGTTATCTTTGCATATCTCAACTGTTTTATTAAAAGCACTGCACAAATGGTGAAGGAAATATGAAACCTCTTACCTTTATGGACTCAGCCTCTGCTTCCGCTTCCATTATCACGCGAGCTCTGCAAATAAATAATTCCCAAGGGTCATTAACACAAGCATGGTAGCAGGGATATGCATTGAACTGCCCATATAGGACTCACCACTGTGATCTCTTTTCTGGAAGACATTGCAGCTTTTTCCTGTATTTTTCTGTTTCAGCATAGTCACAGTCACTTTAAGATGTTTTCTTGTTCATGTTTTTGTTTGTTTGTTGCGGTTTAACCCGATTCAAGAGCCGAATGGCTCACAGGGCTATACCAAATAAATGAAAAATGAAATGAAATGAAAAAAAACTTTCAGAATGGCTGACCTTTATCACTTTTAACGCTCAATCAGCCCGTGGTGATGGACCGACGTTGAGATTTGACAAAAACTTGATACATGATGCCAAGAGCTAAGAAAAAGTATTCGTGAACACAAATATTATCTAAATGAATCAAACACCCTTCAACAAAAAATACAAACTTAACCACTTACGGGACTGCCGACATATTCCACTAACACAATAGTTTGATCGACAATCAAGTAATATACAAAAAATTCATACGAGTAAAAAGTACCGTCGTAGTGCGTATAACCCATGTGAGTTTTAACATGCCAGATTATAATCTGCATTCCTTACACGTGTAGTGACATAGAATCGGTCACGTAGCAGCAGAGCGTTGGCTGCTGGCAGGGAAGGGGATCTGCAGCTTACAGCAGCCCTGACTGACAGCAGGTCACGTGATAGGCCAGAGAGGGATCTAGGGGAAAGGTCACGGAAGGGGCACACCGAGAACCCGCTAGAAGGTTCCAGAAGGGGGCGTGGCCGGGGATGGAGCCAGGCCACGCTGAGTGTAAAAGAGGGGCCCCGGGAGGGGAGCTCGGGGCTGTCGTGTGGAGTGAGGGGGTCCCCGTCGTGCTGCTGCTGGAGTCTTCACCGTCGTCTCAGCCGTCACCATCTCGGCGTTGCCAGTCAGGAAGTCTACCAGCCGTCCTGACTGGGAGCCGTAGTTACCAAGTGTTAACTGTTAAGCCGTGTTAATAAACAGAGTGTCTCCTACTCTTAGTGTCTCTGAGTCAGTCACTACACATGCATGCAGATAGCCTTTTTAGTATATATTTTGGGGCACATTGGTATGTTAATTTCATTATCAAGTACAGCTTTACAAACATATTTCAACCTTGCCCACATCCCCTATTAATTGGATATGATTTGTTTTTATGAAGATGAAACACCTTCCATGGCATTTGAATCTTTAACATACACTGACAAAGAAAATGGACAAATGACGAAAAGTGTGCAAAGAAGCGGTGCATGCTTGAAATGACACTCGGGATGAAGAACACACGTGGATGAGGAAACACAAAACATATTGACTCTTAAGAAAGGTAAGTGGACTTGGACAGGACACCTGCCTGAAATAGATGGCAGGTAATCAAGAACAAAATTGGAGTGGTAACCAGAAGATGGAGAGTGTCCAAAAGGATGTTTGCACTGCAGAGATAAAGCAGTGAAATTAGCTCATGTGCAGGAGCTGGGCGGATTTAGCATGGCAAGACTGTGGCTAAGGCTTGGGGAAATCTTCATCCAGCAGTTGATAGATTACATTGAAATTTCGGGGCTAGTACTGTGCGAGAGAAACTGCTTTGACTTACAATCACAATGGGCTGGTAGGGGTCATCAAAATGCACACCCAGCCTCCTTTGTCTCCGCATTTGTGCTGCTGATACTATGCCAGGAATCCCAGTCAACCTAAACGAGGCCCCATGTCATCCGAATACATTTGCAAATGAAGTGTGTCGTGAGGAATGAAATGCAGACTGGTGCAACTATAAGTGTCGTGTGATAAACACCACGCAACCACTCTTCAAACACATGTACGCACACACCTTCCCGCCTCAGCCAATTTCTCCAAACGATACTTCTCCGCCTCAGCCGGTTTCTTGATCTTGGCATCCAACTCCTTCTCGCGTCTCAGAATCTCCTGCTCCTGCACCAAGATCTGCTGGGTGCGCTCCACCACCAGGATCTGCATTTTCTCCTCTTCGATCTTCTGCTTGGTCTTTGCCACCTGCGATGGCACACGATGCAGTTCCAGAATTCATATCAAGCCAGCACATAAACCATGCCTTTCTGCGCCTTTCTTTCCAATGTAAGAATGATTGATAACTTAAAAACTAAACTAACCACATTTTTAATTCACCAGAAAAGGCCCAAAGCTATATAGCTCTTTTCCAGAAGCGTCCTGGCTACAAATGATAGCTCAGAGAAGAGGCTAATTATGTAAAATGTATCACAGCCAAATATTCTAAACGCATGTTTCTAAATGTGGAGGGAAAACCCGGAGGAACCAGATAAAAATCCACGCGACCATGGGGAGCACATTCAAACTCCAAATACACGCATCAGGGTTGGGATCAAACCCAAGTCCTCCTGTATACAAGGCCAGGGAGTAAACATCTCGCCACCGTGGCACATGCATGCCATCTTCAATAACATAACTTTGTCACAAATGTCTTTAAAGCATGAAATTGTTGTCAATATTGTTTAGTTTCAAGTGCTGAAATGTTATGATCCAGCCCGGTGGCTCGGCGGTAGAACGAGCAGCTTGCAATCAGAAGGTTGCGAGTTCAAATCCTGGTGAGGTGCTGACTCAACATATTATCCTTTCCAGGTCGATAAAATTAATAAAAACTTTTCGCTAAGTCAACAGCATTTGTCCTGTGGATTAAATCACCTCTGACATAAGATTGTGGTATGTCCACCATTGGCTCAGTGCTATAAACAGGAGAAGAGCACTGCCTCAATGCTTATTGGGCAGGACTTTTAAAACAGTATTGTCTGTCTTCTTAGTTCTTTCGGTAAAGTCACGTAGAAGGGAAATAATAAAATAATAAAAATAAAACATTCAGACGCTGTCTTCCCGACAGACCTGTTCTTCACCTGAGGACGGCTGCTTGCGTTGAGGCCGAAACATCGTGAGAATAATTTAATGTTTTATTTTTATTATTTTATTATTTCCCTTCTAAGTGACTTTACCGAAAGAACCAAGAAGATGAATCCCTGCAGTCACGAAAGCTTAAAATCGAAAAGTATTGTCTGTGTTTATGGTTCTCTGTTCGTACCCACCTGCAGCTGATAAGCCAGGTCCGCCTGTGCCTTTTGGGTATTGACTTCCATGTCATAGGCAGCCGTCTTCAGCTCGAACTCGAGCTGAGCTTTGGCGATTTCAATCTCGTTCAGGTACTGGGCAGCCACTTTCTGCTCCACCGCCATGGCTTCCTGCAAGGGCCCATGGACGTGCGTGACTTGTGGCATATGCATGGTCAGTTATCAGTTATGGGCAACCATAAAAAACAACATGTTTTGCAGGAAGATGACGCACACACGCATTCATCACTACTATATAAAGACTCCCCCACGCCCCAAAAGCAAATTGTGCCTTGACACGAATATCCCAACAAGTGCACACTCCCACAGTTTTAGCTTATTGCTCAACAAGTAAACAATGACAAATGCCCATTTTGCAAGTCTTAAAAATGGACCAAGAATAACATGTTGTAATGAAAAACATGTACATTACACGATTAACAATGGTTACCGGTTGGCTACGTACGGCGCGAAAGAAGTTCAACATATGTACGCACATACGTACATACTGCAGCTTTCAATTCCCATTCCGTGGGTGTTTTCTAAGCTGTGCGCGTCTCTCTGGTAACGCGCTTCGACCCACCTTGATGCCGGCATCTCGCTTCATTTCTGCCTCTCCGATGCGTGCGTCTCGCTGCACCTGGGCTGTACGTGCTTTGCCCAGTGACTTGAGGTAGTCCTGTGTGCCATCACACAGACAAGCACGTGTGCGCGTTTGTCACTCACGCAGCTTAAACCGCAAGTGTGGTATGAATCGGTGTAACTATTTAATACATATAAAACAACTTGAGAATAATTAAACTTCACTCAAAATTATATTAGATTATTACAGAGGATAGGTAGGCCCAAATACACTCTCGAGAGCAGTGGTTCTCAACCGGGGGGTACGCGGGGGCAAAGTGAGGTGACTTATAAATGTGTGAAATTATATTATACACGGGAGTCATTGGTGAATAATCACGTATGAATCTGCGAATATAAAATGACTACAACATTTTAATCCATATGGTAACATAGAACGATATAAAAAAAATACCTTTCTAAACTCAATAATCGTAAACAATGTGGTTTCCAAGAGTAACCAGCGAGGGTGAACAAATAACGTCACGTGTGCAGAGCGTCCATTTAAAAAATATATTATTCGCTTGCAGTAACTAGCCAGTTAGGATATCTCACAAAATTGAGAATTGGTTCAAATATTGATTTCGATTTAAAGCTTTCGTGACTGCAGGGATTCATCTTCTTGGTTCTTTCGGTAAAGTCACGTAGAAGGGAAGTAATAAAAGAATAAAAATAAAACATAATAAAATAATTATCACGACGTTTCGGCCACAACGCAAGCAGCCGTCCTCAGGTGAAATCAGGTCTTTTATTACTTCCCTTCTACGTGACTTTACCGAAAGAACCAAGAAGATCAAATATTGATGTTTATCAATTCATAATTTATTTCTCAGAACCATGTTGGGTCAGGCAAGGGGGTACTCGGTTAAAACAAAATTCAACAAGGGGTACAGGAGCCAAAAGAGGTTAAGAGCCACCGCTCTCTCTCGAGCTCCTGCTATTGGAGGCTGTTCCATCAGCATGAGCCAGAAATTGCAAAGCTGCACCTTCAACTCTTTAAGCATAATTACATTTAAGGCAAAAAATACAATAAAACTGAAATTAAATTCAACTGATACTACAACACTGTAAAACAGATCAGCTAATAGTAAATTATGTTTTTACTGGAGTGAAATAAGCAAGGGATTAAAAGAATGAAATAAACTCAATTACAGTTGAGTCACGCAATAAACATGCAAGAACTGAGTAGATTAACATCAATTCTTACACTCACGATACGTTCGTGGAATAATTTGTACGATAGTGTGTTATTTATGGTTCATGCAAAGTATGTGCAGTTTTATTCCATTTGGGTTAATGGAGTTAAACTGAAACAACAAAAGAAAAGGAATTGTTTGAATAAATACGACAAAACTAAATTTGACAAAAATGTATTATTCTTCAATAAATGTAGCAATTTACCAAATTGCTGTGGTAGGTTAAAACTTCATATGCCGAGTATGCATCGTAGTCAAAAGCTACAAAATTTACACAAGTGTTACGAACCAAAATTACTCAATGGATAGGAACCAGATAGAGCGCACGTTTCAAGAACCCAGAAAGAAAATGCCGCACCCTTACCTCATCGTCACGGACATCCTTGAGAGTGTAGCTCACCACGCTGATGCCCATGTTGAGGAGATCAGAAGAAGCCACGCGGAACACCTCCTGGGAGAACTTCTTACGATCCTTGTAGATTTCCTAAAAGCAGGAGCCGGTTTAATAACACTGGTCAACAACAAAAAATGTTTCTGGCCTGGACTTTTGCAGCTGTTTTAGACTAATTTCAGGGTTCTAATTCCAAATCTGATCTCAGATTTGCTCTAACACATCTCATTTTTATGCTATCGGCATACCCCATTTTCATTGATTTTACCCGAAATTAACTCTGTCACTTATGATTGCAAGTTGTTGCGAGTCAGTGGCTGCTTTAGTATGGTGCTGTATTTTTAGGATAGTGTGTTTATAATATCATTTTATGTAGATATCCACATTTATTTAATATTTTTCTTCTGCAGTTTTAATTGAAAATGCAATATTTGATATCTCAAAAACCTGATGTGATAGACAAAAACTGATGCCAGATTTGAAATCAGCACCCCAAAATTACCTTAAACCCGTTGGAATACCTTATGCCAGAAAAAGTGTGTTGACCAGTGTAATGCATCATGATGTGCACTCCAAATTAATTAAAGACAGACAGGAGAAACACTTGCACAGAAGAATGGCAAATGAGAGGCCACACCATAAATGCGAGTCCCGTGCCCGCAATGCCGCGAAAAGTACGTGGAACAAAAGGAGCCAGACTAAAGGACAGACAAAATCAGCAAAGGAGTGACAGTCGACCTCGCAGATAACAACGGCGGCGGAACGGTGACGCAATTGGGACACGTCTCAAGACTATGGCAGATTACAGCTGCACAGGATCAGGAACAGAAAGATGGAGCAGAAACACGCAGGACAGCGTTTCGCGCTGCCGTGCATGGAAAATGTTCCCATTGTAAAAAAAAACATTCCCCTCATCTGTCATTTTACCTAAATGGAAAACAGACATCTTTCAATATAGCTCAGGTTCATGGTTGTTAATTAGAAATGGCAAAATGGCAGCTCAGGCTATTGATGCCTCACTGGCGGTTAGAAGAACCTAGTTCTTTATTAAAATTTGCGCTTTGATATTTTATTCATGCATAATTTGAATAAGATAACCGATAATGGTGATTAATAAAGTCAGGGATCTATTTTTTGCATTAACTGCAGCTTTTAAAACACAGAAACGAGTAACCTAGCCTGGTGACGATGAAGCCAGTCTCTTTAAGTGAAGTAAACCCACCTCCACGGTCATGTTGCCCATGATTGCACGCTGGTGTCCTTCCAGTGTCTCCAAAGCGATCTGGCTTATCTCCTCGTCCCCTTTTCCCAGAAACATCTGGCAAGCAGCTGCTAACATATCCTTGTTTTGTCCTTGTATCTTCACCTGCGAGCCAAGATACAACAGTTGTGACACAGTTGAACCCATTAAAGACACGTTATCACAGCTCGGGAATGGGCATCGTAAAGTGAAAAGCAGAAAAGAGCAATGTGTTTTTTATGTTTTCTGTTACAGATTTTTTTCAGTCCACGTGATGTCACCTGTTATGTATACCAATGCAAAATAATTTTGAGCTCATTAATGCCAAACGCTTACAATATCCGAAGGTCTACGTTTGTATGAACAAAGGCTGTTTTTGTTTCAAGTAAGTTTCTGTTCAGTGATGCTTCTGCAACCGTTTAATCCACGAGTATTTTATGTTATAGGGGAAAGGAGATAAGTATAGCCTATAGATTGATTTAAAGCTTTCGTGACTGCAGGGATTCATCTTCTTGGTTCTTTCGGTAAAGTCACGGAGAAGGGAAGTAATAAAATAATAAAAATAAAACAATAAAATAATTCTCACGACGTTTCGGCCACAACGCAAGCAGCTGTCCTCAGGTGAAAACCAGGTCCGTCGAGGCGACAGAGTCTGAATGAAACAGCACACGAGCTTGGAGCATATATATGAGCTGGGCGCCTTGACAAAGGAATATGCTAAATTCCTCTTGATATGCAAATTCCTTTGTCAAGGCGCCCAGCTTATATATATGCTCCAAGCTCGTGTGCTGTTTCATTCAGACTCTGTCGCCTCGACGGACCTGGTTTTCACCTGAGGACGGCTGCTTGCGTTGTGGCCGAAACGTCGTGAGAATTATTTTATTGTTTTATTTTTATTATTTTATCACTTCCCTTCTACGTGACTTTACCGAAAGAACCAAGAAGATATAGCCTATAGCTTGTGTGTATAGACTGCATTCTTCCATTCCTGCAATGGCTCACAATTTAATTCAAGCAATTGCCCTGGTGTACTATCCATTGCAAAAAAATAAGGCCTGATAATGTGGTAAAAGTAACCGTTTGTCAGGAGATGACAAGACAACTAAACAATCTTGAAATTAAAATAACAATTTCAAAGCAGCCTAGACCCCCCATGTTAAGTTGATGCATTCTAATAAGCTTTGCCTGCTTAAAATTGGACAAATTGGTTAAAAAACAAGTAACCAAGATATAAAAACCCATCATTGCATGATATCACGAATGGCAAGAACATTAATAATATGTAATGCGTCACTAAAACGAAGTATTTTCTTCAAAAACATTCAATGGGTGCACTGGCTTGATTACTCATAAATAGGGGACTATGGTAATACTTAAAAGAACCAGTGTCTGCATCGAATGTAAGCCCAAGTGAATGTCATGGCTAAATTAACTTCACACCAAAAACCTCTTAAATGGCTCTCTCCAAAACAAACTATGCCTCTAGGAGATGTTACAATCGCATCACTGGTGAAACGCTAAATGCTTTGAAACCCACACTGTGACTTTGCTCTTCGGACAAAGCATTTGCTGAAACAGGCACCACATACATACAAAGCCAAGGATCCCTTCTTTAAAAAGTAGGTGTAAGTGGTTTTAGAAAGCACCTATTAAGAATGGCACAACACATGAGAGCGGTGCAGTCAGCACCATGCTAAATGAACACTATATAGGCAAATAAAATATCCCTATGATCTTAATAGACTGATGGGAGTAAGTAATGCTAGCGAGCTCCTATTAACCATTTTCCGTTCCGAGATGTCTGCAAGTTGCAGGGTGGGTCCCCCGTTCACCTCTGAATCTGAGGCAGGCACAAGCGGCTCGGCTTAAATACTATTTAGAGGGGCATATAACCGTTGCTTTTAAAAACATTGTAATCACCACAGAGAACTGTAGCAACACAGTTTATGATAGCTGGCACCAAAACTTTACCAAACGCCCTCCCGTATGGCCATTTACTTCCGATTCCATTCAGAATCGATGCGATTCCGCTCAGAATCGATTCCGTTCTGATGACAATAATTGGAACGGAATCGGAAGAAAAAAACGGAACAAAGAAACGGTTAAGCTAAGCGAAGCCACTTATTTTAATTAAGGTGGTGTGGTCAGAACGATGCCCAACCACCTTTGTCTCCCTAATGTTTGCACATCACACCAGGTACTCATTTAAGGCCGAGTCTACCTATGCATGGCACTGATGTTAGCGGTGTCCGAAACTGAAACTCAGGTCAATGGGATCGTAGCATAGTCCACGTTTCCCTCACTTTAAGCGGGTTTGTTTTGTGCGATTGTGTATATGTGGCTAACCTATTTGTACCCAAATTTAGCAATATGCAGTTTAAATTCATGAAGTGCATTCTGGGTTGGGTGACTGTGCGTTCTATGCTATGCAAATTAGTTTTGTGTGCTTTTTAGGAACTCATCTACCACGTAAAGTGGGGGATACACTCTCCACTGAAGCAACGCTCAGCACATATACAAACAAAGACAACGATCCCCCGTATAGCCTTTAACATACTGTTCGGGCAAGTGCTGTTAGCGAGCACCTATGAAGGCCGGCTCGGCACGCGAGGGGGTGGGTGGTCAGCACCATGCCCAACTGCCTTTGTCTCCCTCATGGCGATGTTTACACACAGCACCAGGTACTCTTTCGAGGCCGAGTCAAACTAGGTGAGGCTCAGGACCGGTTCAGATAATCGCCACTGGTGTTGGCCATGAGCGGGAATTGAACTCAGGTCATCGGGTTCGTAGCGCAACGCGCTAACCGCGACCCTACCACTCCACCACACATACACAAGCAGCCATAGACGCACATGCAACTGCTCCATTATCACATAAAATCCCTCATTGCACATTTAAATACTCAATTACCTGCGCTATTCCCGTCACCGAGATGGGCACGCCCTGTCGCGTGTAAACTTTCTCGCTCCTCACATTCAGAGTCATGGTGTTGAGAGAAATCCTGCAGAGGTGGACAAGGCAACACAGTTTAAATGAATTCATTTCAGGAATGTTGAATTGCCTTTTACCTCTTCCTATGCAAAATGATTTTGTTATTCCGGAACATTAGACATGAAGCTTATCGTTCAGATATAGTAAAGGTCTTCTGTCTTATAATGTGGCAGCAATATTCCCAAGTAAACTATGGAGATTAGCACGATGACATTTGCAGGGCTCAACTTGTCATGGAATATTTTTTGAAGCCCCAAGACCCTGCCCCCCTCATGACAGCGATTCACCTTTCGTCAACATCTCCTCGCCCACCAGTATCTACGTTAATCCTCTATTAATTACGCACCATTACATGCACCACTCCTAAAAAAATACTATCAGTATAATAGTATTTTTTTCTCCACTTTATCAAAGCACTCTGCTTTTGATTATTCTTCTCTAATACATTATCCGATTTGCACATTGACAACAGTTTTCAGAATTCATGTCTGGGAAAAAATTTCAGAGCTCAGCCCTAGACATTCTACTTAAAAAACAGATTTTACTTGCCAACCAGGTGGAGCACAATATGCACCATAACAATGGTGCGTGGTGCAATTTGTAAAGCTTGCGATCCAAAACCAGCAAAAGGATAGTTTAATTTGAATATTATAAAAATGGTGGCTCTTTCAATGCCCCTTTTGGAATCATGTTTAAGCTATTTTGCTTTCAGATTACAAACGCAGCTTTAGACACCTGTACAGCCTCAAATACCACATAATACATCAGAATTAATACTCTCTCAAATAACACGAATGTAATATTTCTCAACATAAAAGGCAAACGATAACAGCCTCGAAGAAAAAAATTCAGACAGCCAAAAAGCTTCATAGGATGTTATCGTTGTATGAGACTAATATAAGTTAACAATGAATGACGCAGCTGAAAATAAAATGTGAATTCTTACCTTTGCAATTGCTGGATGACTGGCCAAACGAAAACTCGGCCACCTGTAATAGTGATGGGAGGGGAACGGCCACAGCCTGGCGATAGCACAGCAAAAGCTCAATTAATCACATATGCCAGTTTAAACTGATGGTTCACCAAATTTTCCAAGTACCTAAAACTTTTCAAGAAATAAACTAAGCCTGCGTTTTAACTATGATATTATAAATATGCTACTCTTTTTTTGCAGAGGTACTCGCCAGTCAGTTGTAGAGCATTTTAAGTTGATTGTAGAGAAACAGTCAGGACTACATACTGAAGCTTCCGTAAACAACAGATCTATGATAAGCGCACGACAGATGGCTGTCGGAATTTTTCCGGATACATTAAGGATTATATTGCCGTCTATGACAGATGCCGGTTAATAGAGAATTCTGGATGGTAAATTGCCAGATAACAAAGCTTTTCAGTAATCAACGTTTTTGGGTTAGATCGCGTTATTTATAAACGTGTCGTAACCCTCCACCACCCAACACGGCCAATCAATAAAAAAGTGTCACGTTGACAAAAGACAAATATTTCACTACTTTAGCCCACCTGTGTGTTGAAGAGTGAATCCAAAACATTTACAATTTTTGAGTACGACGTTTCGCTGGTAATTACATCCAGCATCATCGGGCAACTTGCCGGAATAGCGAAGCCCTCACTTGCTTGCTCCCAGTCTTAAATAGAGCAGCAGGGTGACATCATCATTTAACTCATTCACAAAGCGTTTTGGTGTAGTATCACAAGAAATTAAACATGGCCTCAACAGTGTGAAGGGGACTGTATGCTAGAGTTATGGTTGGGGTACATGTTGAGATACAGTGGACGCGTAGGCATGGGAAACTGTACGGAGGAATATTCTGGAATGCACACGTTGAGTTGATTGAGAGAAGGTGGCCTGTCCATGTGGGGACACTAACTGCTCGAGGGCAGGGCCTACAAAGGGTATATAAAAGGGAGCCAGAACTCAGTTTGGGGCACAAAACTAAAGAAAGACGACCAAAGTGGGGTGCAGCTGGGCTGGGTTCAATGGAGCTGTACCGACTAACTACACCGAAATAAAGACTTACCCTTGTTAAAATGGATGCCTCCAAGGGACTCCTTTACACTGGTGGCAGCGGTGGGATGTCATCTGTGACATCCCGACAAAGAACCCGAAGAGGAGCTGAACAACAAGAGAAGGCGCCATCCCTAAGCACCCCAGGACCCCGAGACTCGGATACCAGCGGGAGCCGGGCCTCGCTAGGCCCGCCACTTTCTCGGAAGAACCCGAGATAGCTCAATTGGAGAGCTCAGATGAAGGGTGAAGACACAGCTGGCGGACAAAATAGATCGCCTCACCTTGTCGATCGATCGGCTCATAAGGAGGATCGTCGACGAGAGAGAACTGGGCCGGGTCGACGAGGTGCAGTATGGGCAGCCACCGCCCCTCGCAACGCGGCGAGCCGACATGACCGGGACGGAGCAGCTGCCGCCCCTCGCAACGCGGCAGACTGACAGTCGAGAGAGCCGGAACATTCGCTGCTCCTTGCGGGGCGGCGAGCTGACATCGACGGGTTGGAGCTGCTCTTCGTAGCGAGGAAAGCGGGGTTTCGACCCAGTTGTACAGCAGGGGTCCCCGATTGTACCGCAGACTGCCGCCGCACCACCAGAGCCGCCGCCGCAGACCCATCGGAGCGAGTACAAAGACTTGGCCCAATCAAAGAGTTTGCGGCCACCAGAGGCAACTGGGTGGCCTTCATCAAGCACTTCAAAGCGGCTATCAGGGTCAGCGGGTTGGAATGAAGAAGAGGCCCTCCGAGCACTGCCCACGGTGCTCAATGATGGGGCTCCGACGGCCTTCTGCACCATCCCGGAGGCTCAGCGCGCCACGCTACAACAGGCCTATGAAGAGATCGCGGAAATTTTCTGCCCGCCATCCAGCGCCAGGCAACGGCTCCCAAACCGGCGGCGAGAAGAGAACAAGCTGCCGATGGCCTTCCATAGCGCCCTCGTGACAAATCGCTAAGGTGACGTTCCCCAGAATGGACGAGGCGGCCAGAGACGCGCTGGTGGCGGAGAAGATACGGGGCCTCCTCCAAAGAAGCGGAATTGTACTGCCCATCGTGCCGGAGAGTGACCCGACTTCGCTGTGGTTCACGAGATGCCTCCGGGCACATGATGAGGCAAAAGCACCGATCCTCATGGCGGCGCAGATAACGGAGACGACGGAGAATGGAGGAACCCGGGAATATACAGAACAATCGGGAACAACATCGACCACCGGACCCAAAGTGGCCAGCGATCTTCAGGCTACCTTGGGGGAGATGGCGTAGCCATTCGCGAGTTCACCAACCCAAGGTGCAATCGACAGGAGCAGTGACCATAGGAGGGGCCGGGGAGGAGCAAGGAAGCGACCGGAGATCAACTGCTACCCAGGCGTGGTCGTCCACTCGAAGCGTTGGGGCGCCGCCTCACCAAGCAGCTGGAGATAGTTTGCTACAAATTGTTTTGTGTTTAAAATGTTTAAATATGATTTCCTTCAACGTGAACTGTATAATGAAGATAACATTTTAAGTGGTTTATATTAGAAACCTGCTGTTAGTCTGATTTGTGCCTCGGGGAGGTCTCGGGGCGGCTGTGAAGGCGTACGAGTGAGAGATATCCCTTAATTATTTGTGATTAGCTTAGCATTTTAGCCACGCCATTTGAGACCCATTCAGTGCAGTGAAAAAGGTGCCCATGGCTGTAATTACAACGCTAGGTTGCACTGTACAAATATAGCAGGTCATGGCCTACACGCTCTAGGCTTTTGGCAGTGTCAAAGGAGTTGTGCAGTGTGGACTTGAGGGTCATGGGGACAGCATTTGAGTGCTTTGTGGTTTCGTTTCGTATTGTTTATAAATGCCTACCGTTAGTAAAAGCCAGTTATATCACTTTGACGGGAAGGCCAATAACATGATGAGGCTTTTCTAAATTAGAACACCATCTTTTCAGGTCACTCACAAATGCCGCATCTAGTGGAAATGTCCCGAGCCGCCACTGCAAGCTACCGCTGCGGGAAACCGGGCCATATCACAAGAGGATGCCAGGGTGAAGTCGACCGGCACAAGGAAGCTATCTCCGACCACCGACGCAGGACTTCCCAAGAAAAAATCAGGCCAGTCGCGATACCACGGGCACTCGGCCAGATGATGCACACACCTCATCATCAAAACCCTCATTACCGTCATCACCAGCACCCCACTTGGTCGCGGCGATCCGGTGCGGCACAACGGGACATAATTGTCCGACGTCTAAAACTAAATGGAAAAGTTTAGCAAGAAGGGTTGTAGCAGCAGCCACAAGGACGTCCGTGTTAGCAGGAGCGGTAGGGGGAAATCCTGTAAGGATGTTAGTAGATACAGGAAACTCGGTCACAATCATATCCACGCTCGTGTTTGAAATGTTACCGTCGGCTAGCCGTCGCTTAGAGCCGGTGTACAGTAAATTTGTCGCAGCAAAAGGCGGCTGATACAGACTGAATGGATCCGCTTACAAAAGGAGGATGTCTCTCTGGAGTCCCTTCCCGCACAGGCAGCCGAAACAGCCAAGAATATACAGCCAGGAGCGCCATTTGTAAAATGGCGATTGTTGATGAAATGGGACCCTTAACTGTCAGCAGTCGCTGCTTGGTGGTACCCATTCTCCTGTGCCACCAGTTGTTGTCAGAGGTGCACGCTGAACAGCTTATGCAACTGGGTCACCGAAAAACACTATGTACGTTGCAATCTCGTTATTATTGACAAAGGATGTACGGGATTCGGCAAATCGTGTGTGAAGAGTAAACCTCCTTCCCAACCTGGACAACCTCCCCTACAATCAATCTCAGTATCAAGGGTGAACGAGTTGGTTGCGCGAGACACTCTTGGTCCGTTCCCAAAAACGCCTAGAGATAATAAATATTTACTGGTTGGGATGGAAAATTGTACTCTATGGCCCATGGGATGGTCTCGACCAGATGGCTGCATCTATATCATAAACCTTTCGCCACGGATATGCCTTGTACAAAAACTCCCCCTGACAAACTGCTCACAGACGAAGGTCGAAATTTTTCCGCTAAATTACTGCATGATGTATGCAAAATTATGGGCGCAAAGAAAATGTGAACATCGCCATACCACCTCCAGTCCAATGGACAGGTGGAACGGCTCAACCGCACGCTGTCTGCGATGCTGTGTCATGCCATAGCGGACAAACTGAGACTTGCACATCCCAGGAGCCTTAGGGGGTTATTGGAAAGCACCGCACGTGTCGACCGGGCTCTACCCCATCTTTTTGATGTACGGGAGAGACGCAGAGCCAACAATTGAAGACCAACTTGTGGGTCTCCTGGCTAAATCTGTCACGTGGCCGGCTTCCCTCAGATTGCCACTGGAAAGGTTGCAGGAAGCTCGGGAGGCCACAATCGAGGAATTGGGTAGATCGTAATCAGCAAAGGAACGCGTGCGAAATAGAAAGGAAACGCCAGTGCCATTTGAAAGGGGGGATTCTAACCTGGTTACTGTCCCCAGGTCCGTGTGGGCACATCGGCAAAATTGCACTGTCCCTGGCAAGGTCCTGTTGAGATCATCCAAATTCTCTGCCCGCAAAGTGTACGCATCTAGATGGGGCACCGGCGATGGGTAGTCCACCCGAGTCACTTGAAACCATATAGGGAACCATTGACACAAACGATCACCCAGGTTCATAAAGGCTGAGCCCAGTGGTGTCGCGACAAAAGCCGTGGCGGAAAAAGGTCTGCCCCAGCAAAGTACTGCTTCCGCACTTTCAACCCCACTTTTCAGGCACGACCTTTATGAAGACGAAGAGTAAGTGGGCAACGGAGGGAGTCATCCAAGCACACGCGAGAGAGCTGTACCGGGGCGAGGGTGTCGTTCGATCGCGCGCTGATGGACTGAGATCTGGAGCGACAGTTGAGCTGCTGTACCGATGGTTGTGTGTTGTGATGTAAATGGATGCTCCCCTTTAATCGTCGTACTAGGGGATAACCTGCGTTAACCATGTCTGCAAAAATCAGGGGCCATTGTTAGTCATGACGCCATTCTCTCCGTTTTGCAGGGGCCTGTGTTCAGCGTTGACCAACAACTATGTAAAATAATCCCATACTCCCAGATGATATCCCCTTGTGAAACTCGTACCTCATACGTCAGGGAGAATATATTTCTCCCTTATGAAATCCTATTGACTAAGTTGTTCCGCTAAGGTTATTATACACATCCCCTAGTGTAAGATAGCTGTAAAGCCGGGACAGTTATGTTTTTCGTCGGGGGGGGGAGTGGCGAAGGTGGAGGGGACTATATCAGAGTTATGGTTGGGGTACACGTTGAGAGTGAACGCGTAGGCGTGGGAAACTGTATGGAGGAATATTCGGGAATGCACACGTTGAGTTGATTGCAAGCAGGTAGCCTGTCCACGTGGGGACACTAGCTGATTGAGGGCGAGGCCTACAGAGTGTATATAAAACGGTGCCCGAACTCAGTTCGGGGCGCAAGGCTGGGACAAGACTGAAGAGAGACGACCAAGGCAGGGTGCAGCTGGGCTGGGTTCTTTACAAGTGTATACTTAAGGAAGCTAACGGTTCCCTAATGACCACCTTTAAAAAACAAACATCAGCCGGTGGCCTCAGTGTAATCATAGCCACTTTAAATACCCATTTCTACCTGTTTGAGAATCCAGTTTTTTATTACTTAATCAAAGATGTGTTTGTGTTTTTTGTTTTAAAGTGTAATGTGCTGCCAAAGTCATGTAGCTAAAACATCAAGAATATTTCACGTACAAAAACTATTTGATTAAAGACTATAATGAAATTCATGATTGAGAACTCGCACTATCAAAAGTCTGATGAATATAGAAGCACTAGGGAGGGTTAAAACGACCATCTTCAAACATTTCTTGTTTATTGCTGGAAATGTTATTTCAGATTATGAGTCTTAAGGAACTGCTGCAAAACCAAATTATAATGGGTGTACATTTTTGGCCCAAGAGGCTTGCATTGCAATGTTGTTTTTGCAATGGCGTAAGCCAGCGTGTAAACCACTACAGCCTCATCGAACTTCCAACGTTATTAAATAAAGAAAATAATTGGCCGATTACAAATGCAGTGCTCCTACTTTACTGTGAAGGATACGCAGCACTGACATTAATGAAGTACAGTAGTGTTTTCTGGACGATGTCATGTTTTTTACAGTTTGCGTTCATGTTACTTTGTGTATTCAGAGCCAGGCTTTGTGACTTGAATAAAAGAACACTAATTACATTTTGATACCACTGTGGTTTGTTAGAAAATGCTAAGGTACATCAGGGTCAATGCATATCATAAAAAAAACATCTGGCATGTGACATTTTTCATAGTAAGCAGACATTTGAAAGCAAATCCAATTTCAAATCCAATACATACAAGTTATATTTAAAAATGCAATTCTGTGGATGCGTTTTTTGCAGAATTAGCGTATCCACACGACACTATTGCATTTGTGCCTTTCATGATTAGTAAACGTTAAACAAATTCTGAAAGGCAAATTCTGAAACAGTGCATGAGAACACAACTTTAATTTTACAAGGTGCTAAGCAAACAATTGTTTAAAATCTCACAAAATGTTCAACCTGATTTAAGAAAAGGGCCATCTGGAATGGCGAATAAACCACATTTCCTAATTAACGACAATCAAGCTGATCATCTACTCATATAACACACGAAACATTACCCTGCAAAAATAACGGCCAATGCAGTTTACAACAAATGTGAAAAACTAGGCCACCTCTTGTCGGGTCACTCTTGCATACTAAATTTATGCCCCAGAATGCACCAATTAAAATAAAACAAGGGCTGTAAACACTGAAATAAATGCCATCTTGTGACATTAAAAATGAACATTAAAATGGCCACATGGGCGACTATACTTATCTATGACTTAAAACTTTCGTGACTGCAGGAATTCCTATTCTATGAACGTAAGGCAGATGTGAGACACGGTAGGACCAATACTTCTGCCGTGGTTGATCATTATTTTAATGCGGCTGGCTCACACGAAATTGATTTCTCTAAGACGATGGTACTTTGCAAGCCTACTGGCTATCAACAAAGATTCGTTCATGAAGCCATTCATATATACAGACACAGAGACAATTTCAACCGAGAGGAAGGTTATAGACTCCGCAATCATTGGAAAGATGTCATCAACCACTTTGGGTCATGACTTGGTTTGTGTTTTCTTGTCAACCTCCACCGTCAGCAGTGTGGGTGTATGGAGGAGGTGCAATGCTTTGATTGGTGTAGACCAGGGGTCGGCAACCTACGGCTCCGGAGCCGCATGCGGCTCTTTATGGGCTGCTTCTTGACTGATATGTACGTATGTACAGTATGTACTCAGATGCATTGCGGCTCTTGAAATGCAGAATTTTGTACCGAATTGGAAAGAAATGGCTCTTCTTGTTATTTTGGTTGCCGACCCCTGGTGTAGACCTACTACCGGTGTAAGAGCCTTCAGCCTACATTAACATTAGCTGCCCCGGCCCATCTCTAAACCTTTATAAACAGCTCACCCTCAGAGGCTTCACTGTTCCTGATGACCACCGCTTGTGTTGCGATCGAAACGTCGTGATATTTTTATTCACCTTATTTTATTGTTATTTTTTCTATCTACGTGACTTTACCGAAATAACCTTAGAATGTACTTATCTAGTGTATTCAGCGTGCTCCATCACTGTGGTATATTTTAATAACTCGCATACAGACATCCCCTGATTGCATTCCTGTTGCTGTACACAATTTTCTCTCCACGGTCGTAAAGGTGACCTCTTGTTAAAGGTGTCGTAACATCAATACCTGCATGTTGGCATATCTGCTACAAAAAGTAAAGAATTGCAATAAAACATGTTATAAGTTTGTCTTAAATTGAAAACTTTATTTCTTTAGAACTGTTCTTTGTGTTTAGTTTGTTGTCGATCACACGATTCGCTACGCACGGTGCAAAAGTTTAATGATTTAAGAAATGGAGAATGATTAATCAAAAGCATTCCAAACCTCGTTACTCCATGGACACTCAAGGCCTGCAAAGTCTTCCAACTTAACCGAATCTCCCCAGATGTCATGTATGTTCACCTTGTTTCGCACCGTACGTAGCCAACCGTGCTAATGATAGATCAGACAGACTACACCAAGCAGTGATTAGTGCAAATAAAAACAACGAATGACAAGGGACAGGTAATAAGACCGTCTATGGGAGGCCACGCCCTTACCAGACACCACCATTGCCTCATTGGGACCGCACGTGTAGAAACCCATTGTTCAGAAGCCGATTCACTTCCACGTGAAGACAAGCGACTCTGGAAATATATGGACACACGGAAGAATACGCAACACCTGTTACATAACGTACACAACCTTGCCAATCCACTGTGGAAAGGGCCCTCTTGAACGCTGCTTAAATGCTGGTTGGTGAAGGCGAGAGAGCAGAGTAAAGCATGGATGTTGATGCACAGACTTATGCTGCCCACAGCGTTGTCCCACACAGCCTGCAATAATCGATTAATTACATGGTGTAGTCGTCCATCGAAATCACTACCCAGTAAACATTAAACAGGTTGGGAAGTAACTAACGTTTGTTGTTGGCATGTGGTTGAAAGCGTTGGTGCAACGGCTCCACGTCTAATGGGTATCCAGGCGTGAACCGGCTTAGCTTACACGAGACCTTACGATTTACTTGACAAGAATCAACACAATTCGTCAATATCACAGCATGACAAGGGAAATATTAAAACAGCCGACGTTTTGAGCAACGGACCTTTCAAAGTACATACATTATTCAGAGGATGTTACATAATGACAATGTTTTTATACGGATACGTTTACTTTGAAACGTCGAAATTTACTTAAACCTGTTGGCTGTTATCACGAACTAATTAACTAAACGTGCTAGACATCATCAGCCATGTTCAATCCACTGCTAGATGAAGGCCTTCCCGAGTCGCCGCCTATGACCATACGATGCATAATAATCCACCTCAGCTTCTGCAAACGTCATGTTTTTTGACGTGATCGCTCCATCTCTTCGGTAATATCCTTTCCTAAATGTACTTTTGTTTAATTTCCCAAATGCCAGGCGAAAGAAATAAACCCTCGTACACGCGCAACGCGCACGGCGACAGATCTGCCTCAAAATGTACGACCTATTGCAAGCCGCAAACAGGGGTCATTTCAGCAAATGTAATGCAAAACAAGCGGAGTTGCTAAACTGATGCCGTGCTTCACGGCAAAATTACTGAAAATTATCGCGAATTTATTTGCAAAACACCGCGGACTTACCGTGCCCGCTTGCAAGCAAACAAGCAAACAAAAACGATTCGGATAACGTAGAGCGCACTGGGAGTCGCCTTATTGTTCCCGATCCGATTGGCTCATCGCGTACACGTGGGTAAGAGGTGGACCAATCAGCGCGCCGGGCACGAGCGCGGCGCTTAAGCGGTTTAGGAAATGTGATTACCAGGGTGTGTCCGCCGTGACGTCACGTAAACGCCAATGCGCATGCGCAGGGCTCTTCCTATTATCCGCGATCCTTCCTATTATCCGTGACGTCACGTGAACGCCAATGCGCATGCGCAGGGCTCTTCCTATTATCCGCGATCCTTCCTATTATCCGTGACGTCACGTGAACGCCAATGCGCATGCGCGGGGCTCTTCCTATTATCCGCGATCCTTCCTATTATCCGTGACGTCACGTGAACTCCAATGCGCATGCGCGGAGCTCTTCCTATTATCCGCGATCCTGCGCCAATTCGTAAAATTCTTGCTATTGCAGTATTTTTAATCGCTAATATGTGGTGTGATGTCTATAGCACGACATGAACACATTACTGCGGAGGGAGCTGCTGGTAGGAACGTTGGGTTGCTCGGTCAATGGCCAGGGTCAACGGCGGCGTGGTGTATTCCGCAAATATGCCCGACTGTGAGGGCGGGCACAAGCCGGCGTGAGTAGGTTAAACGTTGAGTTTTATAAGGGCGCCACGGGGTGACCAGCCCCTCCCCACCCAGCCCCTCCCCACCCAGCCCCACCCTGTCCCACCCTCCCCACCCAGCCCCTCCCCACCCTGCCCCTCCCCACCCTCCCCACCCAGCCCCACCCTCCCCACCCAGCCCCTCCCCACCCTGCCCCTCCCCACCCTCCCCACCCAGCCCCTCCCTGCACGACGGACGGACACAATAATCCCCTGTGGGCTGGTGCAACCAGGTCGTTCCTACCAGTACAATTTTAAGTGTATTTTACACACTCCATCAGCTACGCGGCCTTTCTGGGATTCCAACAACTGCTAGAACATGATACGCCACTTCATTGCACTATCATTTGTGGCCAGGTTGCTTGTGCAAAATAAGCTCAGCGGGCTGCACCTGGTAAAATAAAATAGTTGAGTTCTGTGTACTTTTAAGTGATTTGTTTACCTTTCCTATATTTTGCACTCCATCGGATTCCTCCAGTACAGTATAAATAAACAGGAGAACTTCTAAGGAGAGTCTGGACATTGCTTGATAAAGCTGGTTGTAATCACCAGCGAAAAGTCGTTCTCGAACTAGTAACGAATTGCCACGTTTTGTTGACGTGACACAAACCCTTGAGCTATCATTACTGAATGGCTGTAGGGTGGTGGCGGGTTTAACGACACATTATTTTTTTATACGCGATTTAAACCAAAACCTTTAGTGTGGTGCGGATAATATTGGTCGCGAAAGCCTGTTGCGTGTTAAAGTAATAAATATTATGATTTAGCAAACAGCACAGAGTGAGAGATACACACACACGGCCGACATGACGTCACCGTCAGCCAACAACACTATGAGCGCGCCGTGACGTCATGTGTTGCTGACAGCTACACGCCCCGTAGTAAGATGGCCGTCGTGACGTCACTACCACGCACCACCGCCGATAAAGCAGCGTTCGCCCCCTCTCCTCACCATCACCCATACACCCCGTAGTAAGATGGCCGCCGCGACGTCGACTCACCATCACCACCGCCGATAAAGCGTTCGCCACCCACATACCCCGTAGAAAGATGGCCGCCGAGACGTCACTTCCACCCTCACCACCGTAGATAAAGCGGCGTTTGCCACCCACCACCTCCCAAATACCCCGTAGCAAGATGGCCGCCTCGCTGTTACCGCACGCACGCCTTTAAGGCAAACAACTCTCCCCCCCGCCAGCCCACATCGTCTGAACAGCGTGGGGCGCTCGGTAAAGACGACGACGACTACGACGAGGTGGTGGTGGTAGTGCTGAAGGTATGTGACACAGAAGCCTCTCCCCCCCTCCCCAAAATCTCTCGCTCCGTCACCACAGCAGCGCGCTCTCAGTCGCGTACAGTATCCACCCACCACCACCAACCCAAGTCACCATCATCAACAACAGCTTTGGCGGCGGCGGTGTTGTTGTTGTTAGCTGCTGCTGCTACTAAATGGCGGCGTGGAGCGGCGACGCGCGCGAGTCCGAGGGCGACCGTCAGGAGCGCGAGCACTTCTGGCGCGTGGTGAACGCGTTCCGCTACTACGGCGCCTACGCGCTGGAACGCGTGCGCCGCGCCGAGCGCGAACTCCGCGCGCTGCCGCCCGCGCATCGCCGCCTGCTGCGCGACGCCGCGCTGCCCGGACACCTGCAGTGCGTGCGGGCACGCGTGGAGCACAACCAGGTGCGGTGGTGGTGGGGGGGGTGGTGTGGGGGGTGGTGTGGGTGGTGGGGGGTGGTGGGTGGTGGGGGTGGTGGGGGTGGTTGGGTGGTGGGGGGTGGTGGGTGGTGGGGGGTGGTGGTGGTGGTTGGGGGGGGTGGGGGTGGTGGTGGTTGGGGGGGGTGGGGGGTGGTGGTGGGGGGGGTGGTGGTGGGGGGGGTGGTGGTGGGGGGGGGTGGTGGTGGGGGGGGGTGGTGGTGGGGGGGGGTGGTGGTGGGGGGGGGTGGTGGTGGGGGGGGGTGGTGGTGGGGGGGTGGTGGTGGTTGGTGGTGGGGGGGGGTGGTGGTTTGTAGGGGGGGGTGGTGGTTTGTGGGGGGTGGTGGGTGGTGGGGGGGTTGGGTGGTGGTTGGTGGGTGGGTGGTGGTGGTTGTTATGTTGGTGGTGGTGGTTGTTGTGTTGGTGGTGGTGTTGGTGGTGGTGGTGGTGTTGGTGGTGGTGTTGGTGGTGGTGTGCACGACCCTGCAACACAAACGCTGCTGCTGCTACACGCCTCGGTCTCGCCTGTCTCTCTGGCCTATGTCCACTTGCCTGCTTGACTTGCCTTTGCTGTGTGACCTCTCACCACTTGTCTGCCTGCCTCGCTTGTCTGTGTGACCTCTCACCGCTTGCCTGCCTCGCTTGTCTGTATGACCTCTCACCACCTGCTTATCTGATATGTACGTGGTGTTTCAAAAAGAGGGACCCGATTTGAAATAGCTATATCTCTGCAACCACGAACCGCCCATGAATGAAACTCTTACCACTTGAAAGGGCGAGGCATAAGAGTTTGAAATCACGGAGCACCGCCACATTGACACCTGCAGGTTCGACGTTTTCTAAATGGCACACTGCCTCAACGTTGGATAGGTCGCACGGGACCCCAAGACTTGGCACTACACTCTTGGCCCCCAAGATCCCCAGACCTCACCACACCCTGCGACTTTTTCTTGTGGGGATACGTCAAAGACCGTGTTGTTTTTGTGCCACCATTAGCGACTAATCTGGATGACCTCAAAAACAGAATCACGGCAGCGGTGACTTCAAGTGGAAGAAGCCACTTTGAGAGGTGTTTGGGACGAATTCCACTATCGTCTCGATGTTGTCCGTACAGCAGGTGGAGGGCACAGAGCATTTATAAAATGGTTAGTAAAACTTGATAACTCATTCAACTTTTTGTGTAATTGTAACATGTTGCCATCGTGAAATATACTGCTTTGAAATTGGGTCCATCTTTTTGAAACACCCTGTTAATAAGGCCCTTCAAACGTGGCTCTAACCCCTCCACACATGTCTGCTTTCTTCAGTTGTGTACTGCATATAACCTCTCAACACGTGCCCGCTTGACTTTCGCAATCGTCTGCCTGAATTGTTTACATGACTTCTAACCACTTTCCAACCTTCCTAGTCTACGTAACTTGTCTACTTATCCGACTTTCCATTTGACGTGTGTACATGACCTGCCAACACTTGCATGTATGACGTGTGTACTCGTCTAAAACACTCCCCTTTCCACACAGCATGTGCACATCATTTGCCTTATTCGCTTTTCAACACTTTCCCAGCTGCTTGGTGTTTTCTTTAAAAAAAAACACATTTCAACATTTGTCTCTCTGCCTTGCCTGTCTTGTCTACATAACATCTGAGCACTTGCCCGTCTGCCTGAGTTGCGTACATTATATCCCAACACTTGTCCCCCCTGGCTGTCGTGTCTCTATAACAGTCCCAGCAGGTGAGCCACCACTACTGCATTGCAGCATATGCAGACCTTGAGCAGACTCGCACGCCACCATGAAAAAGCTCCGGTCTAAAATCAAGATGATGATAATTTTGCCACAGCTGCTTAATGTTACTATTATTTCGATTTAAAGCTTTCCGTGACTGCAGGGATTCATCTTCTTGTTTCTTTCGGTAAAGTCACGTAGAAGGGAAATAATAAAATTATAAAAAATACAAATAAAATAATAAGAATAAATTATTATGTTTTATTTTTATTATTTCCCTTATATGTGACTTTACCGAAAGAACCAAGAAGGTTACTCCTATTACGTATATTTTCTGCATAGTGGTCGCTCAGAAGCACTATCCAGGCACAACCCTTGCTTAGCTTCTGAGGTTTGATGATATTGGGCACGTTGGTAATTTTGGTCATTTATCTTCATTTATCCATGATTAATTTCACAGACAGGATGATTTAATTGTATTGTGGGTATATTTGTATAAAATACTATTTGCCAATAGTAGCTGGTACCACATTATCGTGATTAAGAGTTTTACTGTCCCTGAACAAACAATGAACTATATTCTTGGGTCTTTCGGTAAAGTCGCGTAGATAGGTTCAAAGAAAATAACAAAAAACTACGACGTTTCGATCGCAACACAAGCAGTCGTCTTCAGGAAAAGGGGGTTATAGCTTCCAAGGCAAACTGTTTATAAGGGGTTTGAAATGGGCGTAGCCCAAATGTCCGCAGCCAATGATAATGTAAGTGGTGGTCAGCCAAACCTCACTGTGGTTGGTTTTCTACCAATCAAAGGGCTGCCAGGTGAAAATTAGCATGTTAATTAGAGATTAGCATGGTAATGGGAGATCGCAGAGACGCAACGCACGGGTTGGCGCGCGAAGTGGCTGTGCTCGTGTGAACCCTGTCAAAGCGCAAGATTGAAATGGGTGTAAAGCACAACTCGCATCCGAAGGTGGTAAGATGGGAACATCATAGCCAATTATGACTTAAACTGGTTGTACCCATCTTCTGGGTTGAAATTGTGTCTGTGTCTATATACATATGGATGATAGCCAGTGGGCTTGCAAAGTACTGTTGTCTTGGAGAAATCCATTTCGTGTGAGCCGACTGCATTAAAACAATGATCAGCCACGGCCGAGGTATTGGTCCTACCGTGTTTCAGATCTGCCTTATGTTCACGAACACGGTCCGAGACATGTCGCTTAGTTTCCCCAATGTAACTAATGCCGCAGACAGCTTAATTTGTAGACGCCGGGGTAAAAAAGAGAGATGACATCATCATCTTCTCAGCCGACAAGTTCAATGCCACAGTCATCATGGACTAAACCACATACAATAACAAAATTCAGGACCTACTTAATGATGGTAGCTATACCAAAATTAAAAGAGATCCCACCAACCGCCTCGTTACGAAAACCAACAACATCATCACTGATGTTTTTTACCTCGGCGTCTACAAACTAAGCTGTGTCTGCGGCAGTAGTTACATTGGGGAAACTAAGCGACATGTCTCGGACCGTGTTCGTGAACATAAGGCAGATCTGAAACACGGTAGGACCAATACTTCTGCCGTGGCTGATCATTGTTTTAATGCGATCGGCTCACACGAAATTCATTTCTCCAAGACGAAGGTACTTTGCAAGCTCACTGGCTATCAACAAAGATTCGTTCATGAAGCCATCCATATATATATAGACACAGACACAACTTCAACCGAAAAGATGGATATAAACTGAGCAATCATTGGAAGGACGTTATCAACAAGTTTAAGTCATAATTGGCTATGATGTTCCCATCGTATCACCTTCGAATGTGGGTTGTGCTTCACGCCCATTTCAAACTTCACAGGGTTCACACTAACACAGCCACTTCGCGCGCCAATCCGTGCATTGCGGCTCTGTGATCTCCCATTAACATGCTAATCTCTCATTAACATGCAAATTTTTACCTGGCAGCCCTTTGATTGGTGGAAAACCAACCACCGTCGGGTTCGGCTGCCAACCACTTACATTATCATTGGCTGCTAACATTTGGGCTACACCCATTTCAAACACCTTATAAACAGTTTGCCTTGGAAGCTAACCCCCTTTTCCTGAAGACGACCGCTTGTGTTGCGATCGAAACTTCGTAGTTTTTGTTATTTTTGTTTTTTTCATTGAATCTTTCTACGTGACTTTACCGAAAGACCCAAGAATATGAATTCCTGCAGTCAAAACAATTAACTATCTTCATGTAAAAATGCTGAGCAGCCTCATTACAATGGAAATTATATATAACAGAAAATACCCTATGCAAGCAATATTGAAATATTACTGGACTGGAGTATGGGTAATGCAACTTGACAGGAGAGTATATGAATGTAGTAGTTATAGACTATGAATATAATTAAGAGTTGGAGACTAGCAATGCAAATTAGCTACGAATACCGAGGGAGACGAATGGAAGTTCTCTCCTGAGTGCTGCATATCCATGTCTCGCAAATACAAATCTAAGAATGTACACATTGGCCAAGTTCATTAGCTCTCTGTGTCGGTCAATGTAATGAAGAGGTACGCTGATGAACCTGAGCAATGTGTTCCAGCATCAGAGAGCTGATGGAACACATTGGTGAGGTTCATTTTCTCTCCACTTCATTCAATTGATCATCACTCCTGACCCTGTTTTTGTGACGCTTCATCAAGTTGTTGTTTTAACACTGAATGCCCGAAACTCAAACCAGGAGCTGTTGCACGACATCATCCTGGGCACGGCCGAGCACATGTTCGAAAACAAGCGCTACCGTCCGCTTAACCTTGAGGCTGAACCCACCCCGGCCACAGCGTTCGACATGGACAAGTTGAAGTCGACGCTCAAACAGCTGGTGCGAGACTGGAGCTCCGAGGGGCAGGGCGAACGCGACTCGTGCTACCGGCCCATCCTCAATGCCATACAGACGTACCTAGGAGCTGCTAGCGGTGGCAGTGGCAGCAGCATCAAGAGCAATGGTGACAGCTGTTGTGATGGCCACAGCAGTAATGGCAGCAATAACAGTGATGGATGCCATCAAAACCATCGCCACCAACATCATCCGCAGCAGGAGAATGAGCAGCAGCAGCAGGAGAATGAGCAGCAGCAGCAGAATGAGCAGCAGCCGAATGAGCAGCAGCAGAATAATCACAAGCAACAGCATAAAAGCCCCCGAGTGTTGGTGCCCGGCTCGGGCCTCGGTCGCCTCGCATGGGAAATCACGCGCCTTGGCTACAGTTGCCAGGGCAACGAGTTCAGCCTCTTCATGCTGTTCACATCGCACTACATCCTGAACCGCTGCCACGAGGTGGACAGCGTGCGTCTCTACCCGTGGGTGCTGCAGTTCAGCAACACGCGGCGCGCCTGGGACCGCGTGCGGCCCGTGCTTGTGCCAGACGTGGACCCCAGCGCGCTGCCGCCGGGCGCCGACTTTTCCATGTCGGCGGGCGACTTCCTGGAGGTGTACTCGCTGGACGTGGACGTGTGGGACTGCGTGGCCACGTGCTTCTTCCTCGACACGGCACACAACGTCATCGCCTACATCGAGCTCATCTGGCAGGTGCTCAAGCCGGGTGGCGTGTGGATCAACATGGGGCCGCTGCTCTACCACTTTGAAAACATGGTTGGTGAGAGCTCGCTAGAGCTGAGCTACGACCAGATCCGCCAAGTGATCGTGCAGGTGGGCTTCGTGTTCGAGGAGGAGAACGAGTGCGTGCACGCGACGTACACGGAGAACGAGCGCTCCATGCTGCGCTACATCTACGACTGCGTCTTCTTCGTCGTGCGCAAGCCGGCGCTCAAGAGTGAATGCTCGTGACAGCTGGCAGGCGCGAGCCCAACACGATCGCGGGAAAAACGAACCGGATTTCAATTTTGTGTCCCTCCGCCCTTGAGGCGCGTGCGTGAGCTGGCTTTTTGTTGTCATTATTTTGTCGTGATATTTACTATTGTTTTAATGCCATTTGTGCTTTTCGAGATGCGTTGTGGAGTGAAAGCACGCCCGTTGTGGAACACCTTCCCACTTCGCGTCGGGGAAGAATACCGTATAACTACTGCTGGAGTCACTTAATTGAGCCTCTGTCACCCGGTGCCGATTTAAAAAAATAGTTCAACGCATTCCCGGTCATCCTTTCTGTTACCGTTTTGTGCTTGGACCTGGGCTATGTCAAGTAAAACCAATTCTGTGTGATGTGTTGCTTCAGTCATTGGTGACCAGGTTAAGCCAATAAACTTGCCACACTTGAGAACCTGGTTTTAGTTGTGTTTGGCTGCCTGTGATTTGAACCCAGTGCCGTTGGTGCCAGCTCGTTGCTATTGACATTCGACCCACGAGCCAGCTTGGCCACCTCAGGTCTTATATTAATGTAAAATCACAGTGTGATAGATTATATTTTTGAACAGCTGAAGCCATTTAAAAGTAAATTTGCTACTATATCCCTTGTCTTCATGATAATCATGGTGAGATTGGTTAGTGGTACAGCAATCGGAGGTAGATGCCGCATCCTTTGTTAATGTCTGCCAACTGTTAATCTTCTGTAATGTTTTATGAAGGACTTTATAAAACACCTTTAAAAAAATGTATTATGATTGTGACTACTTAAATTTCTGCATGCCAATTATCTCCCACTACTGTCGGGTTTTTTGCTTGATGTACGTACATCTCTTGGAATCCTTTTTGCCGTCAATCATGAGACATGACCAATTGAATGGATTTTTGTTCATGCTGAATTATTGCACTAAGTTGTAGTGTGCGTGTGCTGTGGTGTCATGAGTTCAATACTGTATACTTGCCTTCTTCACATATGGGTATCGGAGGCATATGGCAGCAGTGGACATAATCGGTGTTTTGTAGTCTCGTTTCTCTGCGGCCAGTTGGGATGATCACATTCCAAATATGTTTGAGTTGGCAGCCCAAACACTACGGCCGCACATTCATCTCTTGAGGTGGTGGTCTGGACAAGCCTGAGAGTGTTGTACATGCAATGTGATGGTCACGTGACATGCATGCAAGGCATGATGGGAAGAGTACCTTCCTGCTGCTTGTGAATCCACAGTGGTGTATTATTAAATCTATACACTGCCATTAAATTCTGATTTAAATTGTCTTCGTTGCAGCACATTGTATGCATGCACAATGAAAACCTAAATATGACTTGGCATAGTGCGGGTGATTTTTTTCTGTCAAGGTAATTTTACTTATATCTAAATATTTAGTATTTCATATTCAGTTTTGCATTACTTTAATTCAGTCGAGGGGTTTAAAGTTTCATTTATTAGGTATAGCCCTGTGAACCATGCGGCTCTTAAGTCGGGTGCAACCACAACAAACAATATTAACACAAAACATCCCAAAGCGACGACGCACAACAGAAACATCCTGGAATAAACCAGCAAATATAAAAAAAACGTATTAAAACGCTGGTGATGGCGCGCATTCCTGCAATCCATCACTGCGGAGCGAGGGTTGGTGAATCGTACAAATGTTGTGAAACTCCCTATGTGTGTCGTGTTGCCATGTTCCCTGACTCGCCAGGAGAATTCGGTATACAGAATGTGTGGAATAAGCTCCATCTGTCCCATGTGGGATAGTGGTGCCCCCTCGAATATGTTTTTTTCCCCCCACGTGTAAAAACACTAATTGGCTAAAAACATCTACATGGTGTTTGCGGATTGCATAGCATTGTGTAATACAGGTGGATAAAAGAAGCTATATGAAAGTGACATTTTCACCCGATGTTTTTTTAAGGTAAAAATCATTTGTGTACAAAGAAGGCACAACATTGTGTTGAACGCATGTACAGGTGTAATGGGTTCCGGAGACACTTGCAGAGGTAACTTCTTTATTACAATACAACACTCCAACAGTCCTGATACTCTGTTACAGCCTACATACACAGCCTAGATACACTACTCTGGCTACGCTCTGGGGTCCTCCGGCTACAATTACCCTAGGGGAGGCTATCTGACCCAACCCAGCCAAGGTGCGGGTCTGGACTCTGGCTTCCTCGGAACTCGCCCTCACAAGGACGTAGAGCTGGGAGTTCCAGAGTCCCACCACTGGCCCTCACAGCGTCCCTGCCCTTACAAGGACAAGCGGGACGAGGGGGTTCAGGGTCCTAAGCTGGCTGGCTGGCGGGTCTTGGGTCTTGAGCTGCGACTGGCCCCGATCGGCCAGGAAGCTGCCCTTTTATGCCTCGTCCCCAACGAGGGGTGGGGTTGTGTGCACCCCCAGATATCCCACAGAGCACACACAGCCCCCCCCGTTGGTGGCGCCAAGGGGATTAACTGTCTGGGGTGCCTGGGATCCTAGCGCCTGGCGCCAAAGGCTTATCTGCCTAGGATCCCAGAGCCCCCAGCAGCCCCTCCCCTCTTATGGCACTACACAGGTAAGGTAATTAGGCAATTGGTTGAGGATGCGTTTTAAGGAATGTAACGCAGTCCAAGAAGATATCCATGGAGGATGGAGAGATGAAGTTGGTTCACGTGGAAGTGCTACGTGGATTATCACATAACAGGATCATGGGAAGTGGTGGCGACTTGAAGGACTTCAACGGTGGATTGAACATAGCTGGTGGTGATTGGTACATTTTAATGGTAGGAATTAGAAAAATAATGGCCCAAGCATGTGTCAAAGTAGGTGCTATCTAACAATTCCCTGAAAGCAAATCTTGTTTAAAGGAATCTTACTGGGTACGGGCAGCGTGTTTTGGTCAGGTTCAGTTTAAATCCTTGCCATATGCTAAACTCGCTTTACTACCCGGCTTCGCCCGAGACTTGGATTCTTGTCTTGGATTAATACACGGCCGACGCGGAGGGTTGGGAGGGGGGGATGCGTGACATCAGCAGGCACACTGCGTGACGTCAGCAGGCACTGCGTGACGTTGCCGCATGCGGGTGACATCACAGATCAAATATGTGATGTCACTGCTCACTTGCGTTCAAAATATATCCATTATTGCGCCCCCCCCCCCCCCCAAATACAACAGTCTATTTTTATACTTTATGCATTGTGTACAGTCTGGAAGCTACCCACATGCCAAATTTAAAGTTTGTTGCATGGTGGGAAGTATGCTAAACATTTCGAACAGACACACATTCACAAATTTCCCTTTTATATAATAAAGATGTTATTAGTTTAGGACTGTGCTGCTTTTACAACCAATCGCCTTTTTAAGCTGATATGGCCACAAGGGGTCACGAGTAAGCATTTTTTAAAATTAATGTTCAGCTAAAAATCCTTGTTAAGCGGCACTTGTATTGCATATTATCATCCAATGACGCCACTCATTGTGGGGAAGAAAGGCATATGGAGTCTAATGTATTTCTAGTCAGACTTTCTATTGATGTACGGCAGAAAATGACATTGTTATTTTCCACCATTCAGGCTATTCTTTGCAGCCACATGTTGAAAAGTGCTTTCCTCTCATTAAGTGAAATAGGTACATGTAATTTGTATGCAGAAAGTCCAGCCGGTGTTTGATGATTAAACCACAAACAGTTATAGCATCAGGAACCTTTGTACCTATGTAATAATAAATATGATGTGTAGCGTACACAAGCTTCGTGTCGCGAATCGCAAACAGGTCCGCGGCCGTAGTACATGTGTATGTTAATCAATCTCGAATAGGTCTATCAAACAATGAAATAAATTTTGATTTAAAGCTTTCGTGACTGCAGGGATTCATATTATTGGTTCTTTCGGTAAAGTCACGTAGAAGGGAAATAATACTGGTAGGAACGAAGTGGACCAGACCACCAATAGATTAATGTGTCCGTCCGTCCGTCCGTGGGAGGGGTGGTGTTGAGGGTGGTGTTGGAAATGAAAGACTACGAGTCTTTAAATCTCACAGCGTTTCTTGTCAAAACAAACACTTTTAATTAACGTTACACTAGAATACAGTAATTTTTTCTTTAACTCCTCTATACCCGGTCGATATCTCTGTACCGGTACTAAGTATTATTCCTACCAGCTCACCCCGCAGGGTTCTGTTAAAGTAATAAAAAGAAACAATATGAATCCCTGCAGTCACAGTAATAAAAATATAAAGCATTTTTTTTTCTACGTAACTTTACCGAAAGAACCAAGAATATGAAAATGAAATAGTTTTATTAAATTTTGACTTAGCTTTCGTGACTGCAGGAATTCATATTCTTTGGGTAAAGTCACGTAGAAAACAAAGTAAATAAAAATAATTAAAACGAAATAAAAGTAACAAAATAACACTGATGTAGACTGTAGCCTTGTTCTTAAGTTGAGTGAGTGTACTGGCAATCTATAGTGTAGACCGTAGCCTGGTTATTAAGTTTGGTGAGTGTACTGGCAGTCTATATTGTAGACTGTAGCCTGATTTTTTTTAAGCTGATGAGCGTATTGGCAGCCTATGATATAGACTGTAGTAATGTTTTTTTTATTACTGAAAGAACCAGAATAAGTCTACATTATAGACTGCCAGTACACTCACCGAGGTTAATAACCAGGCTACAGTCTACATTTAGACTGCCAGTACATTCACCGAGGTTAAGAACCAGGCTACAGTCTACATTATAGACTGCCAGTACACTCGCCCAGCTTAATAACCAGGCTACAGTCTACATTATAGACTGTCAGTACACTCACCGAGGTTAAGAACCAGGCTACAGTCTACATTATAGACTGCCAGTACACTCACCCAGCTTAATAACCAGGCTACAGTCTACATTATAGACTGTCAGTACACTCACCGAGGTTAAGAACCAGGCTACAGTCTACATTATAGACTGCCAGTACACTCACCGAGGTTAATAACCAGGCTACAGTCTACATTATAGACTGTCAGTACACTCACCGAGGTTAAGAACCAGGCTACAGTCTACATTATAGACTGCCAGTACACTCACCGAGGTTAAGAACCAGGCTACAGTCTACATTATAGACTGTCAGTACACTCACCGATGTTAAGAACCAGGCTACAGTCTACATTTAGACTGCCAGTACATTCACCGAGGTTAAGAACCAGGCTACAGTCTACATTATAGACTGCCAGTACACTCAGCCAGCTTAATAACCAGGCTACAGTCTACATCAGTGTTTTTTTATTCACTTAATTTTTTTTCTTGTTTTTTTCGGTAAAGTCACGTAAAAGGGACGCTGTCTTTCCGACAACTCTGTTGTTCACCTGAGGACGGCTGCTTGCTTTGTGGCCGAAACGTCGTGAGAATTTGTATTTATTATTTCCCTTCTACGTGAATTTTACCGAAAGAACCAAATAATAGTTTGATCATTGTTTATGATTTTAGTATTTTTTCCTCCGAAGTTTGACAAATAAAACTGAATATTGTCACTTTGATCTTCGTTACTCATGGTTTGTTTGTTACTTAGACACTTTCATCTGACGGCAACACTCCTCCCGAGTTGAATTCTCGATGTTGTATGTCACTATGGCAACACTTGAGTTGTACCAGCATCTTTACATCAACAAAAGCAAATGTTGCAATAACCTTGCTTGATAAGCATGTTATCACATAATCCACTTTTATTAGCCATAGACAAACTGATGATTATCACCGAATTATGATTTGGCCTGTGGACTCGAAGTGGTGTGGTTAAATTAGCGATGGGTGTAAATGCATCCGTATGGCTTAAATTGTAATGAGCAAAGGCCATGTTGAGTATAGAAGCAAATTATATATTGTTAAAATACTACATAAGGCTAATGCATAAAAGCGAACATGGCCCAATCACTACTTGTGCAACAGAAGGTGTCGCGTGTCTGCTGGGCTGCTGGTGTGCGTTAGCAAGGACACAAAGCCAAGATGTGGACATCCAATCTGTTATAGATTTAGTGATTGTGGTACAGAGAGTTTAACATACCTTCCAGTTTATGGTGACTTTGTAATCTCGACAAAGGCTGCAACTGTTAAATAATATGGCATTAATATTCTGGCAATAATTTTACGAAAACGTCGAGAATTCTGTAAGAAATAAGAAGAGTTCGAGATGCCTAGATATGCTTAAGCGGTTGGGAGCAGTGGTTCGGTGTTATGAAGCCGGTGACATAAGTTAAATTCCTGGCCACGGCTATCATTCGTGGCAAATAAAATTGCAACCAGTCCTTGTCCCCACTTCACCCACCCACTGGTGACATAAGGTCAAACAATACCCATCACAAAACATGGCTTGGAGCCTTCTTTATGGCCTCGTCTCACTACCCAGTGTCTCACCACCCAGTGTCTCACTACCCAGTGTCTCACTACCCAGTGTCTCACCACCCAGTGTCTCACTATCCAGTGTCTCACTACCCAGTGTCTCAATATCCAGTGTATCACTACCCAGTGTCTCACTACCCAATGTCTCACTATTCAGTGTCTCACTACCCAGTGTCTCACTACCCAATGTCCCACCACTCAGTGTCTCACTACCCAGTGTCTCAATATCCAGTGTATCACTACCCAGTGTCTCACTACCCAGTGTCTCACTACTCAGTGTCTCACTAGCCAGTGTATCACTAGACAGTGTCTCACCACCCAGTGTCTCACTACCCAGTGTCTCAATATCCAGTGTATCACTACCCAGTGTCTCACTACCCAGTGTCTCACTACCCAGTGTCTCAATATCCAGTGTATCACTACCCAGTGTCTCACTACCCAGTGTCTCACTACTCAGTGTCTCACTAGCCAGTGTATCACTACCCAGTGTCTCACTACCCAGTGTCTCACTATCCAGTGTCTCACTACCCAGTGTCTCAATATCCAGTGTATCACTACCCAGTGTCTCACTACCCAGTGTCTCACTACTCAGTGTCTCACTAGCCAGTGTATCACTAGACAGTGTCTCACCACCCAGTGTCTCACTACCCAGTGTCTCAATATCCAGTGTATCACTACCCAGTGTCTCACTACACAGTGTCTCACTATCCAGTGTCTCACTACTCAGTGTCTCACTAGCCAGTGTCTCACTAGACAGTGTTTCACTATCCAGTGTCTCACCACCCAGTGTATCTGTATCAGTGACTCACCACCAGTGTCAGATCAGAGGGGGGGCTTTATCCAACTACGCTACGCATGTAAATACGACATTGCTCGCTGCAATATCTATCCACTACAAATATTGATTTCATGCTTTTTCTTAGTTCTCTGACAAATATAATTTCTGTAAATAGTGATGTTTCCAATCATGCCAATTGGTAAGCATGCCTCTTTCACTAACTGAGCTACCTGTCCATAGTAAAATGTGATTAATACACCATCACTGGCTGTACTTTTCAAGGATCTTCATTCAAACCCAATTGCCTTGGCACTCGGTACACCAACGACAGTCGTGCGATTGCGCTTGACTGGCAAAGAAGAGTTGTATCGCTCTCCACGCCAGCTGGTCACTCACAGCAGCAGTCCATGGCTCCAGATCAGAGATGCCCGTGTCCGTCTCGGTCTGGCGCCGCCAGGCGTGAAGACTGCCAGGTGTCGTGAGGCGGGCCAGCTGGATGCGTCCCATCGCTGCTCGGTCTCTTCTGCGGCTCAAACTTAACACGTGGCTATAGGGCAAAATAGTCCGGGTTCTCCAGCATCCTGTCTAACGTGGCCAAACAACGATAATTGCCTCGGCTGTCACACAATTTCCAAAACACTTGGACACTTTGGCCGCTTAGGTTTAATGGCTCTACATTTATTTTCCACTGTGCTTGGCTTTTACCTTCAACGATTTAATTTGCCTCTTGCCATATGGGACCCATGGCTGCTTTTGAGTGTCTTTCGCCGGTGTTTGTACAGGAGTCCTGTTGTGTTTCCACTTATCTAAAGTGCTTCGGAAGAGTCCCGTGGTCCACATCTTAAATGTGTTCGGTATATAACGATCCATTGATGGATCAATAAACACATATTTTTTATTCTCGCACGCATCGAATCGTGAAATCCGCTTTGCCGAGTGTCGAGAGTTGATGGTCTGAGCCCGGTCACCAATTACTAGCACACAGACATACATTTGACTAAGTGTGATGTCTGAGAATTAAAATGATTCGAACATTTCAGTTGGAAGTCTGGTCAGGTGACCATCATTACTCTCACTTCCTGGATTCTCATTTTGTGGCCCTGATCATTTCTTTGGTGACGTTTGGCATATTTGTAAATTAAATGTATCTTGTTAATTTGCTTGTGAGAATTGCGCTGTACGTTACCGGTGAGCTGAATCAATTTGCGCATCGAAACGTGTGTGCATGTGGCAATTTCATTGGTTTGGCTGTCGGGTGGAGGAGGGTTTACAGCATATTTTATCAGATCAGTACATTAGGCATAATCTAAAAATAAATCATGAATCGTAAACTGATCAGTTTGCCTGTCATGCGACGCACATTACTCTGTGGCAGAGTGGGTGGGAGAGTACTGCTTCCGACTGTGTGGGCCAGAAGTCAAGGATTTCAGAGGTCGTTTGCTTTCAGCCACGAACAAGATGGGGATTGTGCTGCTCCGTGAGAGATCATCTCACGACAAGACACCAATAGCACAATCGAGATGAAATTATGGCAAGAGACACATTTATTGACTTCAAATCTAGATTATTCACATCCCTTTCGTTGCCATCACGTGCTGTCGTTGCGATACTATATCCAGAGCAGGCATGCATTTGGAGAACCTCGCAGGGGCGGTAAATGAAAGCGGTTCCTGCGCTTGAACAATCCGCGCATTTGCACTGCCATGCAGCAGTCACTGTTTGTTGTTCACCATTTTTGGAGTGGAAGATGGAAAGAGCCGTGCAATTTCCTGGTGAAACACGCTCACCGCGGCGTCGGATTATCCACTCGGGATGTGTTTTGCATTTAAAGCATTCAGAGTTTTCAATTATTGATTCTCGGATCATGTACGGTACGTCATGTAATGAATGTAACGTGTCGTCATGCTGACAAAAGTGATGTCGGCGTAGGCCACGTGATGCCACTTTTGTTTTAAAAAGCACCGAAGTGATGCGATGTAAGTAATGCCATTACTCAATTATGTAATTGTCCCTTTTAAGGATATTTGTTTTAATCCAAATAATGGGAGCCCTTCCCGAGTGTGTGCCACGCGATGGTATGTTCTCGTCCATACGTGGGTCTGTTACGTGTGCAACGTCTTGCCTTCTATCAGCGGATTGCACTCGCTCAATGTTTTACGGGAATCCTACAAATGCCATACACGTCAGATAATCTTTTAATGTTTTATATGAACCCCCTCCGCATGGCTTTGATGTTGTTCAGTCGCCGCGAATCGAGCTGACACAAAGCCACCAAGCGTAGGTCAGGGAACACTGTCTCTGCTTGTTAGGCTCTGTCTTTCACCGTGGCTGGTGAGATCAAGCGTGTCCGCTACAAAAAGGGATTGTTTCTTTTTTTACCTGCACACAACCTTCTGCACCTGCAATAATGTGTCATGGTCAATTAATGGTGTTTTGACTTTGCACGGCCTTGGGAAGTGTCTTCCAATGCTGCCGACGGCTCTCCAGGTGTCCACGGTGTGTGAATGTGTTCTTTTCTTCTCTTTTATTATCCTTCTCTGATTCGGGATTTTGACCTTGCAGTGACACTGCTGCTATTGTGTACGTATTTGTAATCACTGTACAATAATTTCCCAGCTTCGTGATGGTGATTTGTATGTCCTAATGGTGCTACCATGGTATTCTCACCGATTCGCAGTTAATAAATACATTACTATACATTGATCATGTGTGTGTTAATAGTATGGCAGTGCAGTATCCAACAGCGTTCACTGCAATGTTATACGTTACTATAATTACAGCTTTGTCGATATTTGAACGTGTTCTGGGACCCAACCCTTTAGGGGCCGTCTATAAATGACGTCACGCGATTTTGAACGATTTTTGCCCCCCTTCGTCACACGGCGTCACAAAAGTCAGACCCCCCCCTCAAAGATGACGTCACAAAGCTTTGTCCCCCCAAAAAAATAAAACATGCTTCAAATCGCTTTAAACTATTGTCATTGTAGTGCTTATTTAATGTGGCGCTGCACTCTGATGTTGTAGGAGAAAACATTTATTAAAAAGTCTATTTAATTTATAACGTATTGTCTATATTTATTTAAAGTTGCGCATTTTGATGTGATGTCACATTTCTCACCCCCCCCCCCCCATCGTCACACATCGTCACAAATGTCTGACCCCCCCCCCCCTAGGTGCGTGACGTCATTTATGGACGGCCTCTTACCATCCTCTAGTGACCAGTGTGAAGTATAGTATAGTGAAATCCCATGAGCGGCAGTGGGGAGGCCTTCATCCAGCAGTGGGTTGACACAGGCCGAAATAGGAATTGCAGTGTGCAGTTGGTTCACATGAACAATGCATCGACTACATATTCCATGGG